CTGTCTGTGTTCGACTTCTTCCTCTTGTCTCCCGTCTGTGACTCGCCTTTCTTCTCTCTACATCTCTGTCTTGTGTGGTCTCCTTCTCTGTGATCAATGAAGGACTTTGGGGACAATCTGCCCCAACCCGCACGGTATGGATCAGAATTATTAGCCCAACATGCAAGGGAGATATATAGCACGACCACACCTTCCCTTCTCGCTCAAGGCCTTCTAGGAAGTAGCCAGAAGTCGCCACTGGTTCTAAAATCTCTCACCCGGCCCGGCACCTCTGGACCCAATGAGTCAGACGTGGTTCACAGACCCTACTGACAGCTTCTATATTCTCTCCTTTTTTGTTCCCGCCCTCCTCCACCGGCTCTGTCCTCTAGCTTATTTTATGCTGTTTTGAATAGTTTGCTTGCTTTGTGTTTGGAGGGCGCACTCCTTGGCCTCGAACTTGCGGTAATCCACCTGCCTCAGCAGCCTCCTGAGATCTAGGATAGGCCAATTCTGCCACTCTCCCCAGCCCCCCAGGCCACAAGCCGCAGCCCACAATTTAAACCCCTAGACCTCGGCTTCCGCCACCCACACAAGTTCGGCTCTGACCCTGTTCTCTTCATACTTTACAGGTTCTTTGGGTCGCACGAGCACCTCTGTCCTTTCAGTCCTGCGTCTCCATCCTCACCCCTAACCCACAGTGTTAGGACCTTTAAGTCCTCCGGCAGGAACAGGGACTCCTTGCTCCCTCCCTTCCCACTTCTCACCTTGGGGCCGTCCCTATTCTCAGCACGATCCCGAGTGACCATTGCGCCTCCGGACCCTGCGGTGGACACAAAGCGTGTTCCCTAGATTTTTATACCCCGCCTGAGCAGGGTAGGAGGGATAGGACCCAGCCCCGCCCCCTTCAGCTCCTGGATGCCTAGGGCAAAGACCCTCGGCACGAGGCTCCCGGAAAGGCGGGGACTGAAAGGGGAGGAGGAAGAGAGGAATTGGCCCCAAGTGTGGGAAGCGAGGGAAGGAAGGGGCCACAGGCTGGTTTAAGGACCATAAGAAGGCGGGACCCAACTGAAGGGAGGGGATTTTTAGGGGAAGGGAGTTTAAGTGAATTGGAACACAACTTGCTTAGACATGAAACTTCCAGGGGATCTCCTAGAAGAGTAGATTTCTTGGACGTTCACTGTGACCTCACCAACACTGAAATAAATGTCAGCGCGCTTCAGCCTCCAGGCTGAGTGCTATGTATGGTCCCCCAAGTCTCCCCACATCTTGGGCAGATCGGGGCTGAGGATTCTATTGGCTGACTGCGGGAAAGCTCGCCATGGCACCTGCCCTTATACTCTATCCCCACAACACCACCTCAGCTTAAGCCTGCAGACCTAGTGATAAGCAGAGTCTGCCATCAAGCGGCTATTACAGAAGCAAAGTGTCCCAGAACACATTTCCTTGAGGATGGCTGGGCTTGGGAGAGGGGGGTAGCAAAGGAAACTTCTAGGGGGAAAAAATGAAATCCTTAACGTATAAGTAGGAGTGACGAAGTCTTTCCATTTACAAACATTTGATTTAAAACTAAATTCGAGAGTTTGGCTAACGGGGAAACCTCATACAAGTGCACCGGAGTTACTTGCCTCTGGAGGCGTCTAGTGACTATAGGAAAGCAGGGAAAATGTGAGATTTGCTAGAGGGACAAGAAAGGGTTGGTTACAAAAGGTGATCTGCACCCACCTCAAACCAAGAGCATGACCCTCTACGGAAGGATGTGTCAACACTTGGAGACTTCAGGACGAAGTGCCTGAGAAGGTAAGACCGATATTTAACGTGACAAGAAGACACGGGGAAAGAACGTAATAAAGATAGGGCTACAAACCGGGCCAGAAGGAAGGTAGCTGTGGAGTCAGAGACAAAGTGGAGCCTCCTGCCAGAGGGCCTCCACATCCTGAGCGGTTTTTCTGGCAGAGGCTGCCTTGCCAAAGGCAGAGCGGGAGGGGTCCAGACTTGAGAAGGGGTCCCCATTTGGGATTAGGGCCCCCAGTACATCCCACCTTCCCTACTTCAGCCAAATGGGAGCACAGATGTGTGGCCACAGCAGGCCCCGCCGCCCCCCTCCTTGGGAACCAGGGTTGGCGTTGAGTTTTTCTCACCTGCACGTGAGGCTCGAGGGCCTGGGCAGTTTGCACCCGGGAGTGGGGCCGCCCCCGGCCATATGGAATGACTTTATGGCCCGGTGGCCGGATCCAAGGGAGAGAAAGAATGGCCTGGCGCTCCACCCACCTTAACCATTCTTTACAAACCCTTTCTACGCTTACAGGTTTGAGTATGGCTGGCTCCGCCTTTGACAAGATCAGATAGATTCATTAGGAGCCCTTTCTCCATCTGCATTGGTGGTTCAGTGGTAGAATTCTCGCCTGCCACGCGGGAGGCCCGGGTTCGATTCCCGGCCAATGCACAGATACACTTTTTCCCCTCCACCGAGGAGGAATAAAATTGATGAGGCTTCAGACCAAGCATCCTTTTGCTCAAACATTTCAACCAAAAGTGAAATGTAGTGTTTAATTCTGCAGCCGCCTTGGAAGCTCCGGAACTACTTCCTGACTCCGCAGACCCTCATACTCGCCCCCTTCCTAGCCTGGAAGGTTCTGACTATCTCTGCACACAC